TATTCTGCATGTCTAGCTGATGGGAAATTTCTATGACCAGTTCTTTGGGACTAATGAGTATCCACCAGATAAAAAACAACCCCGTCCAGAAAGTAGCGGTACTGATGATCTAGACAGTACAGTAGATGACCATGCCAGTAACGTTGGTGGCAGCAGTGGAACCAATCATCCTCCTGCAAATAACAATAGTAACAATAAATATCAGACACTACAGAGTCTGAACCTTGGACCACCCCCGCTGGACGGAGGCCCGAATACAAGGAAAGCTCGTCCTGATAGTGTCAACGATGGCTCGACGCTTTCTCCATCTACACCTCAATACCAAACGCAGAAGGGCAAGGCTGACCCCCACGATGCATATCCACGTTCTCCTGCTACTGATATTTGGCCGCCAGCATACGAGGATACATTAAATCCACCCAACGACAATAAACACATTGATCCAAAGCAGAAGACTGAACCTCGCGAAACATACCTACGTGCTGATGATGAAGATGGCTTTATACGGCCAAAACTCAAGATACCTGATCCAGATACTTGGCCTCCAAACTCTGATGATTTGAAAGAGAAGGATACCGCATTGGAGGAGAAACCAAGATATCCCCGCATTACTTATAATGATTATGATCAAAAGGTGCCCTATAGGTATCCGGACTCCCCGCCGCCTCTGCCTAATGGCAAACCAAGTAGACCGCCGGAAGATAGGGACAATGGTCCTGGTCCTTCTCCAGGCGTATATCGCGAACGCCCTGATGTGCCATTGTCTCCCCCACGCGGACGTCGCGATATCCCTTCAGGAAGAGGGCCACCAGGCCCGGGCTATGACGAAAAGCGGCCTTATGGACCACCTGGACCACCGGGTCCGCCCGGTCCGCCTGGCGGTCCTGGCGGCCGTCGTGCAAATATGAGAAAACTGCGCGATGAAGGGCTTAACAGAGCGCGCGAGTTTATTATGCCATATATCGGAAAATGGGCACAGATATCCCGCTCATGGGCAAGTCAGACGGTAATTATGCTTATATTCATGGGCATTGGGTTTATTCTAATGGCAACACTCGCACGTCGTATGGCAGAGGATTCTGCGTCTCTTCTCAACGCAGCTTGCAATGGAGTAGAATCCGCGTCCAACGCCGTAATTAACGCACCCAACAATGCTGCACTATCGACATTGAGAATGGTAGAGAAATCCGCAGAAAATATTATTCAATTCACTGCGAAAACGCTCACAAAGATACTCGACGTATTCCAATATATGATTATCTGGGTACTTAAACTTTACATTGGAACATATATTTGCTTTGCCGAGCTCATCATCCGCACAGCTCTTTCGATGATTACACAAGTTGGAAAGATAATCACTGACGAGCTCAATAAGGCAATAGACAGTGTTGTTGGGACTCTACAGGATGTCACTGCTAAAATTGCTGATGGTGTTAATGATGTTGTTAACGATATTGGTAACTTTTTCAAAGGAGGCGGCGACGATGACAAGCCTGACGATAAGCTGATTGACACTGATAGTATTCGTAAGAAACTAGATGTCAAAATTCCCGACGACTGGGTAGAAAACATAAAGTCTCTGGAGAACAAGATTCCTACCGAGGAAGATATTTTTGGCAATGTCACGAAGATTCTCGATATTCCCTTCGACATTATCCGCAAAGCACTGAATGGCTCGCTCGATGGTGTCGATATAAACCTAGTAGACAAGGTGCATTTAGAAACAGACAAGGAATCCAACGTCTGCACTCATCCCATGGGACAAGAACTACTGAAGGAAATAGGTGAGGGTGCAGCCTTTATAATGCTTATTGCGGGACTTGCACTTGTTGGTGCTGGTGTAGGTCTAATATTATTTAAAGGTGGGATGGCATGGTTCCGCGAATCTCGTTTCCGCACACGTCTGGGCGAATTCCGTGAAAAGATTGCTGATTATAAGCCGCCTTTCAATAGGCGCGATATCTTTAACAGACCTGCCACTCGTCAGGAAATGGATTTGTTTATATTGCCTGGACATCCATGGCTTGATCGTCTTACGCAGTTTATTGTGAAGAAGTTTGGTGATAACGAGCGCACTGCTGCTTGGCGTTGGTGGCTTCATTATGTATGGCATCCTCCGGCAATGGCTTGTTTTGTTGCGGGTCTCTTTGGATTTATTGCGATTATTGTACAGATCCAGGCAATTGAAGGTCTTCGTCGTGAGTACATACCTAAAATGTCTCGACAACTTGCAGAGTTCCAATATTATGCCATTGATCAAGGCGTTCTCGGAGCAGTGCACAATGATTCTGCTAAACTAGCCGACGATGTCAATGGAAATATAAATGGAAGCGAGGAGGACCTCAACAATTCGTTATTTGCTCCGGTCACCGAAGGTACTTCATCATTGAACAAGACACTCGATGATTTTGTCGCCAAATACATCAATGGTATTCGCGATGTCTTTGGTGGTACTCCCCTTCAGGAACCTATTGAGGGATTGGTTAACTGTACGTTGACTAAGAATATTCAAGCAATCCAGAAGGTGCTCACTTATCTCAATGATTTTACCAAAGGTATTAACCTTCCCAGAATTGAGCAAGAAATGCTTTATTCTTCGGTAAAGTCTCTCCTAAAGCCTCTGAATGCTACTGCTGATGAGTTACGTATACTAGCTGTTGGTGTTTATGTTGCTGATGCCGATGAGCTCGATCCTGACACCTTCCTTCCTCAGGTGGATATGGATATGTTATTGTCTGATGCAGAATCTAAGCTCTCTTCAGTTAACTCCGAAGACTCAGCTAATGAGGGTGAAGAGTCTGAGACTGATGAATCCGAGACTGATGAGACTAATGAATCCGAGACTGATGAGGACAACAAGTCTGAGCCCGATGATATTACTATATCTAAGGGCGATGGTGACAATGAAGCTAATAGCCCCGGCAGTTCTAATGGTGAGGAGGGTGGTGAGGAGGAAATAACTCTACATAAACGCCAAGAGGAGAATAAAGATGGGGAATCTGATAGTGCATCGGACACATCAGAAGAATCGGATGAGACGGACAACTCAGATGAGTCGGAAAGCTTAGGCGAATCGGACAGCGAGCTAGGTAGCTTAGATGCCAATAGCGAGCTCGACAGCTCTGAAAGTGAAAGTGAGAGCGAAGAGTTTAGCTTCTCATACGATACTGTTCCCCTGTCTGAGCTTTCTCGCGAAGAAATCGAGGATGCCCAAAAGTTTGATGGCTACACGGGTGGATTGGTTGGAAGACTATGCGATTCATACGTTTCTCATCTAAAGAGCCAGATTCCATTAATGGTTGTCTTGATGCTTGTCTGGATTGTCATTGCTATTATTGGTGGTGTGAAGGTTGCCAAGGACTATGCACGTATTAAGCAGTACAATCTTCGTTAAACACATAATTTTTATTGTTTTCCTCAGTTCATACACATGTTTTAAATTTAATACACATTTTTAATAATATCGCATAATATATATTTTTATTTCACAAGATTTTTTAATGCTGGCTAACTTTTTTAGCAGTGTTCGATTAACAATTTGCTTGTTGGTGGGTGCTACTTTCTTATTCAGATTTGCTCTAGGCTGCATAAATAACAAAGCCCGAAAAAGAAGCAGACTTTAGCCCTTTCTTTGTCCTTGCGCGTTTGCTTACTTGAAAATGGCACACGGGCTTGATGAACAAATCTTTTGCCAAGAGAATAAAAAAGAAAGACTTTACCTCAGACAATCGTCAAAAGGTGACATCGACTCTTTGACATAAGCACCCTTTTCTCTATTGTTCTTTTCTTCTCTTTTTTACTTGTGTGCATATATTTCTTTTATCGCTTTTTTATAATTTTGCGTTATTGTTGTGCATTGCTTTACAATTACAATATTCTACGGGTCACGTAAACCACGTGTAGGCATTTACTTGCAATGAGTAGGTCGTTGTCATGGTGTGGTGTCGGAAGCAAGGTAGCACAGGTACTTCCTCAGATTCAAAATCCGCTTAATTACAAGCAGCGTCGCAGACTATCCAATATTGGTAAGCATTTAACCACTGGACACACAGCGCAAGAAAATGTTGCCGAGTCGTTTCCTGAACCAGTGGATACAACATTTATTGTAAGTATAAATTTTTTTTAAATTATTCTGAAATACTTCAACAACCCAGTGTTGCTAAATGAACATTTTGTCGTGAGCAGCACACAACCACTACTGAATAAAAAATAAATAAATCAGTTATACTAATTGGCCAATGATGTCGGGGGGGGGGGTTTGACAACAATACGATAATACTATAGATAGACTACCAAGAACTTCGCGAGACAGTAAAATCTGTATGGCGCAAAAAACATTCTAGCGAAACAATCAAAATTATTGCATTCGTAATCCCATTGGGCGAGCAGACACCTACCGATTATGTGATTCTTCCACATGGAAACTACCATAGATTGCTAAAAGTACTCCATCCAGACGATGGCCAGTGTGTATTCTACGAACTTGAAGATTCATACATATCTGAGAAAAATCCTGTACTAAGCAGATACACCACCGACACTACGTTATTTAATGAGTTCATTCTGGTACCATCAATAACTGACAGCTTTGACCAGTGTCCTGTCAGATTAAATTCCATCGTCTTTGTCTAACATAAAACCCATAGCAAAAAAGTAATGCCCCTTAAAACTTTTTTAAAAAGAATACGCAGACCTTCTTGTTAGCACTTTAGCTGATCTGAAAGCTTAATGGTACAACGGGCGACCTTAGCTAATATGCTTCTATTTTAGCAACTTTCAACTTTACATTACCAATAGCAACTTATAACGCGCTTCTATTTTTTTGGCTTACTGTTCGATGCTATGCATTGTAGTTTTCTTATAAATTGAGGTCGTCGAAAATCTTTCAACGGGTAAACCAAAAAAATCACTGTTTGCTACTTGTTGTATTGTTTTATATAACTAAAATATTTTCTCTAATGTAAATGTTGCAGCGGTTAGTTGCGATCAGCGAATTTAGTGTCAGTGTGGCCGAGTGGTTAAGGCGTCAGACTTGAAATCTGTTGGGAAATTCCCGCGTAGGTTCGAATCCTGCCGCTGACGATTTTA